TTCAGTTCTTGTAGAGTATATTTCTCAATCTCAGTCTAGTTCTTCTTTGCACTATGTGGGCTTGAAGGTTGACATTTCACGCACTCAGTTTTGTTTGTGTCTTGTTTACTGATTTAGTATTAAAAAAATTTTGTGGAGAAGGAGGACTCGAACAAGAAATCGGGTTGTCACAAAATTAGTCACACTCAAAAGCATGATTTACACGTGCACGTTGATGCTGAACGTGTAAAATAAAGTATTTCTTTTCTAAATATTGCATTTAATACTCATTGCAAAATCTAGCTGATTTGGAAAGTAAGATTTTCTTAATACTGAGAGGGGAGGAGGCTATTTTAAGTGATGCCAGTCAATAATTCTGAAACTCTTTCTAAAAGCTATTCATTTTGATATTTTTTTTTAACTGAATAAAAGGGTCCCCCATGTTTAGGAATTACTGGATTATTCTTGCACCTCAAGAAGTGGCTCAGCACTCCTATTTTTACTGCAAAATGCTAGTAGATGTAGGTAGGTCAAGAGTTAGTCATGTCTTACAGTAAGAATGTAAAAGCACCAAATCAAAACACATTGTCAAAACTTACATTACACTTGTGAAGCATTCACAGCTGAATTTAAAAACTTTACAAGTCTTGTAACGTAAGATTATTCTACCTTAAAATAATTTGATACATGTTTTCTTCATTGGAAGGAAGGTTGGTTTTGATAGTAACCAGTTTTAGTGATCTGCCTATGTATGGAACCCAAATAACCATGCTATTTCACATTTACAGACAATTCATTATGAAGATAATTTTTTCTCCTGCCTTTCGTATTCTATGCATCTATACCACAGGTGAAGTAAAACTGTAATTTAGTATTAGAAACAATCTCTGTTTATCAACTGATCTTCTGATTTTAGAATACTCAATAGCCTATCACTGTGGATACACTGAAGGGGATTGTTAAAATCCCAATGTATTGGTTGATTGAGTTGTTGTAATTAGCTCACTGAGGTAGAAGATGGAGCTAGTCTGGGTGATATTATGCTTTCCATGTACCAATGAAAGAGTTTTTCTGTTGGGCTTTTGCCTTGTTTGTTTTTCTCATCAACAAATAACACCTGCCATTTTTTACATTCATGTGAGTCTGGTGAGGGAACCACTCAATTCTTTTAGCTTTCTGTTTGAGAATATTTTTGCCAGAACCTCAATTAATTATTGCTCTGCTGCAATGGAATTAAAGATTTTGGGAAAGATCAGCACTGTTGGAAGGGGGAGAATGAGAAAGAACAGTTGTCAGCTCTACTTTCCTACTGAAGATCAAAGACCCAAGACAGCAATAAATCTTTTAACTGAGAGTGGAAGTCTGCTATCTTTAGTCTTCCCCCAAATTTGAACAATTTATGCTTTAGGCATCGGAGGGACATCGTTTCTTAAAAACTGAGTGGCAGTGAATTTGTTTACAAAAACTTATTGCAATACTGCACCTAGATGGTCTGCTGTCCAGAAAACTCACTGCACCCCTTTAAAATCCCGAGACTGACTATCTCCCATCTTTAATCTTATTATAAATACTAAAAAGCTGTAGAGAAAAACAACCAAAGTCCTTAATACGCATCTACTTAAACTGTGCCCAGCTCTGAGAAGAAATATGTGTCATTATTCAACAACTTGATTTCTTTTTTTCTCTTTTTTTTTTTAAGCAAAGGTCACAATGGAGAAGTCTGGTAAGCTCAGTGCCAAGGACAGAATGTTGCTGTGAAAGTCTTTTCATCAAGGGATAAAAAAAATTATGATTTCAAGAAGCTGACATTTTTAGTACCCTGCTACTTCAACACAAGTGCATACTGGTATCATTATTTCCAAGTAAAGGACTAATTTATCATGTATTTATCTCTTAATGAGAAAATCTTCTTCATGTCCTTTTAGCATACTTTTGGGGGAGGGAAAAATGAGTTATGTTGTATTTAATCTTTGTTCAGGTCTATAATTTGCTTGAATTTTTTTTATAGAGAAGAGGACTTTTGAAGTATCTGAATTATCCGGCTTTGAAATATTTTTAATTACAAGCCTGTAATTTTGCAGATAGTTATCTCTCTGGTTTTGTTTGTTGTTTCTTAAAGAGAGGTTAATAAAGAACGTGATCTATATGATACAGAGGCTTTTAATTTCCTTTTTTAAACAAGAGCAACAAATATTCAGGCTCTCTCGTGTGTTATGGGACTGGAGAATTTGTCTTAAATTATTGTTTTTATCATTTATTTATTTATTTAAATCTTAATAAAAAACAATGTTACTTAGGAAGTTGGAGAAACAAAAAAAGTGGTTTTAGAACAAAACCTAGGAGGAATTGATAGCTTTCAATAGAATACAATTCTTGCTGATCAGTGAATTCATAGTGAACGGCACAAAAAAGATGGCATGATAAGAAACAAGGATTGTGTTTGGATTTTTTTTTTCTTTAAATGCAAGCATAGTAACACCAGTTAATAATTTCCTTTATATTTTAGGGTTCCTTGCATCAGATGCAACCTCAAGAAATTCCAGTCGAAATTCAGCCTTGCTACCACAAAAAATGAGTCAATACCTGCAGTGACAGACAAATGGTAACTTCTGGTTGTTCAAATTTTATACTTTTTGTTGCAAGTGGTCTTGCATATCTACATATTAAAATAGTTGGGTCAGAAGGTATAACAGCAACAGCACATGGGTGTTACAAAGTTAAAATATCTTTGTTAAGAATTGTGCTGCTGCATTGCTGATCTTGGTAAGAAATTTTCATTGTTTGCAAAAGAATCTCTTTAATAACTATTTCTGTATTAAAAATAACCTGTTCGCCTTGTAGTTAGTAGATCTACTGTGTGTCTGAATGAGAAAAATTTGCTGTTGTCCATTTATTGGACAACTCTTATTGTATAAAAAACACTGTATGATATGCAGTCTCAGGAATAATATATGGATCTGATCAGAAGTCCTACTCTATTAATCCTAATACCTCGCCATAATGCTTGGTCCCCGATTTGTTCGCTTGTACACAGAAAATGCTAAACAGGCTAGAAAGACTGTGATGACATTGGTTGCATTGTACTTCAAAAAAGAAAGGTATGTCTTTTAATTAACAGTGCTGATAGTTGAGGTGATTATAAAATCAGTGATCCAGAAGCAAGGCAGAGATCTAGCAAAGATAAATTCTCAGTAAATCATAAATATTACTAGAAAGGATTCTTAATCTAAACTGCCTTTACTCATAATGTGTGTTTTGTTGGTTTTTTTTCAAACCTTCCTGATTTTTGCTACTTGACATTTAAGATTAAACAATAATCAAGCAATTAACAGTTAATTTAAATAATTAAATAAGTATTTAATAATTTTGTAATTATTAATAGAGGTATTAAATAAAACATTATTTAATTTTGTAATATCCTACATTGAAAAGTATAAACTACTGCACATATAATCATAAGTGTGAAAATTTAAATTTTTTTTTAATATCTTTTGGGAACTAGGTCATTTTATTTAGCTATGTATTTTCAGCACTGTGCTTTCTCAGACAGACCTATGCTAGATGTTCTTCTGAAGAAAATAGTTCTATAAATAAACTTATAGCACAGATTTTGCCAAGATTTACTGTCAGTCATACGCTCAAGCATCTGCAGTAGTAATAGAGAAAGGAAGGTGTATATCTAACTACTTTTTTTGGAATTAATTCTGCAGGGTTATTTCTCCCTTTTTCACGGTATCTGTAATTCCTTTGGTTTTCATTACTAGTACAGACTATTTTTATTACCTTTTTTTTCAAGAATGCCTTATATTATGTAGCAAAGAGTAGTGGTGTTAAGAGGTTGCTGCAATGGTTGACTGTGAATACATGACTGCAGCATGTAGAGTGCCTCTGCTAAGGCAAAAGACTGTCATGAAAATTTTGACTGTTGACGAAACCTTTTTAAAAAATTCAAGTTGACTTGCTAAGATCTAGCAATCACTTTCACAAGAGCAAACAGAACTTCTCCTGCAACTATATAATAAGTGAAGTAAGAAACCCCTTCATTTTCTCCTTCAAAGCATGTGAGCCCGTAATTCCTATGATATTTAACCGCAGTTTGTTTCTACTGTATCTTAAAATATAGGAATGCGTCACCCGGCAAATAGATGGAACAAATATGCAACAAGGAGCTTGAACTTCATGCTACAAAGAGATGAAATCCGGGAGGCTTCGAATGTGGGAGATGAGTCTTGACATTTAGAAAATGTTCTCAAATGCTGAGTGTTTCCTAGAGAGGAAACAGTTTTGTTTCTCACTGTCTTTTGTGGTGATTAGGTCTTGTTCTGAAGCTGAAAACAGAACTTTTAGGTTTTAATCCCCAGAAAGGCTTTCAACAAATTTCAATGGCTTCCTTTGTGAGGTTTCTCTTCCAGAGCACGCTTACAGGCAGTCACTTACAAAGGTCCAGCCAGAACAAGGGTGCTTTAAGCTGCCTCAGGTTTGTTTATGAGGGCCTTCAGATCAGCTCTTCACAGCCAGAAGCCCTTTACAGTAGTCCCTGCCCTGCTAGTGAAGGCCCTGGTCATTTCTGAGACACAGCCTGGAGGCCTGTGTGAAGAATGAGGGAAAAAGAGGCCTGAAAAAGGTTCTGGAAATCATCAAACATTTCACACTCCTCCGAAACAAGATAAACCATATCTGTGTGCTTGGCAAACATTACCCTAGACTATTTTGGAAAGATTTGCCAGACTCTTTCTGGTGGACATTCTACCACTTCCCTAGGCAAGACATTTCATTCCTTCCCTAGCTTTATCTTTAGAAAGCTGCTTTTTTTTAATGTCCAGCCTAAATTTTCCTTGCTTCAGTTGTGGCAAACATATCTTATTTCCCTTCACAACAACTTCTTCGTGACAAAATGCATGTTGACTCTTGCTTGCTGTCATGGTGCTACTCAAAAATAATGCTGGATGACTCATTCCAGTCTTTTTTTTTTTTTTCCCTCAAACAATCAAACCAAAATTGACTGGTATGTAATTTCTTACCTCTTTCCTTTGTCCTTCCTTAAATGAATCACTATCCCAACCTTCTGGTACATTCCAAATCCTTCAGAAGCTGTCAGAATAGCACCAAGTCCTAGCGTTGCTTCAGCTTTTTCTTTAAACTCCTGTAAGGAGCAAATCAGCTTGAACTAATTCGAAGGTAATTTTCTATCTGTTTGTACAGAACCAGCTCCTTTTATCCCCTTTTCCCTCTCTTTTCCCATGCTTGTTCCTCCTCAAACCATCTTGATTCCCTCCCTTTCCCCCGCCTTGGGTTCCACCTCTAAACAAGCCATGGCAAGTCTGGTACAACCCCAAAAGGCTCTTCAGCTGTGTCCTATGCCATGTGCCACCACAGCCCGGCTGTGACCCCAGTGGTGGTGGGTGGTCCTGAGAACCTCTCCTGCAGGCTCATTGTCTGGGTCTCTCCCAGGACAGTCTTGGGATGGGCTGGGAGGGGGTCTTCATTCCCTCTTACTGGGTTATAGGGGTTTGCCCCCCTGCTGCTGCGCCTCTGTGCTCCGTCATGTTTGTGGGGATGAGCTGTTTATCACATAAACCAACACTGAACCAAATCATGTAACCCAATTTTAGATCTCTTAATGTGTTATCTGCAAGCCACAGAAAACCAGGACGCATAATCAGCTGGCTGTCTCTTGTAAGAAAAATTAAGATAAGGATAAGGAGCGGTGCTCACGCTCTGGATCGCTTGCCTTACGATAACAGGCTTGAGATCCTCTGCTTTTGAAAAGGATGTGAAGGATTTTACAGTTACACCAGGAGATTAAAATGTGGAAAAAATAAATTATGGTACCTACTAGAAGTCACTCCAAATATAAATTGAAAAAAATATGCAACGGAAGTAAAACAAATTGAGGAAAAAAAATTAATGGAAAAAACAAGAGCTGGAAACAGGCCACATGTCTAGAGCCAGGACAGTGTTGCAGGAAATGTAGTGTTCCTTGCCCTTCCTCTTGCAGTCCCTGAATTTTTCCTGGAGGAGCCCATTATCATTCATGTATCTCTGTAACATGACCCATGACCATGAGCCAGCAATGTGCCCTTGTGGCCAAGAAGGCCAATGGCAGCCTGAGGTGGATTAAGAAGAGCAAAGCCAGTAGGTCAAGGGAGGTCATCCTCCCCTTCTACTCTGCCCTGCTGAGGCCCCATTTGGAGCTCTGTGTCCAGTTCTGGGCTCCCCAGTTCAAGAAGGACAGGGAACTGCTGGAGAGGGTGCAGCAGAGGGCTACAAAGATGATTCAGGGATTGGAGCATCTCCCTTATGAGGAGAGACTGAGAGAGCTGGGACTCTTTAGTCTGGAGAAGAGAAGGCTGAGGGGAGACCTTATTAATGCTGACAAGTATCTCAAGGGAGGGTTGAAGGAGGAGGGAGCCAGACTCTTTTCAGTGGTTCCCACCGAGAGGACGAGGGGCAACGGGCACAAGTTGGAACATAAGAGGTTCCACTCAAATATGAGGAGAAACTTCTTCACGGTGAGGGTGACGGAACCCTGGAACAGGCTGCCCAGGGAGGTTGTGGAGTCCCCTTCTTTGGAGATTTTCAAAACCCGCCTGGATGCAGTCCTGAGTAACATGCTCTAGCTCTAGGCAATCCTGCTTCAGCAGGGGAGTTGGACTAGATGATCTCCAGAGGTCCCTTCCAACCCCAGATCATTCTGCGATTCTGTGTAAAGCATACTGCAGCTTCTGAACACCTTACATGGTAGCAAAACATGCCATCTTAAACAACAGTGTGCAATTTTGAAGGTGCCATTTCTACAAAATGCCTAAAGACTCCATCTTGCTCCTGAAAATGTGGTGTGTAACAAAGAGAGCAAACTCATTCTCTGAAGAAAGCATGGAGGGCTCACTTCCCAATGCAATGCCAGGTAAGGAAAAAGAGCATTCTGGCATATTGATTTTCTAGCTGGCTAAGTTAACATTTGTTATTTTTGCTGTGTTTATGGTTGCTACAGAACAGATTTTATATTAGTAGTGCAATTCTAATATTGCTAATTAGTCCCTAAAACACTAACTCATTGACAAGGAATTCCTAATTCTACTTATACGTTCGGAAAAAGTCAGATTTTAATTTTTCTCTTACCTTTACTGAATGTTCCTCTTGTTATTGCCCGTAGAACAAGAACAAATGCCCACATGTCAATATGTTTACAGGCATCAAAGCCATCAAACAGAATCGAGTCCTCAGGAAGTTCTGGTGCCATGTACCATTTCATGCCAAGCCTAGGATTGTTTCCAACATCTGATCAGTTCTTTGTCCAGGAGCGCCTAACTGCAAGGCATAAAATTAAGATAAAAAAATACTTTAAAATGAAAACATAATTCACAATGCTAATTTCAAATCTGTATTAGATTTAATCAATCAGTATTATCTATTTAATACCAAATCAGGTATGTACTGAGGCTGAAGTGCTACAGCAAAGCAGAAGTTCTCTAAGAGGAAGTGGCAGATTATTTCATGTATGCTAATTAAACCCTGAAATTACTGGGAAAGTAATATTTTTTTTCTCATATCTTCAAAGCTAGGATCTACAGAACAGCAAAACCCACATCAGATGACTTTAAGACCCTGTAAGTACTTTAAAGATAAAATTTTGGTTGTTTTTGAAAATACTCCTGCACCTTTAAACATGCATGATATTAAAATGCAGCTTGATAAAGTGCACTGACAGTTCCCCCTTCCCCAGCTTTCATCCCATTATTGTGTCCTCCTTATTTGCTATTTACTGAGTTAATTTAAAAGACGGGTTGACATAGTGCTTAGTGACATGGTTTAGTGCTAGTTTCTATCAGAGTTAGGCTGATGGTTGGACTAGATGATCTTAAAGATCCCTTCCAACCTCGACAATTCTATGATTCTATAAAGGACATCACAAACCATTTAATTTGTGACATGACTAAAGTACTTAATTTACTTATTGGGCACTAGTAACAACGTTTTTAAACCAAGGTACTTCCTCATTTTCTCCTTTTAAGATGCTATGAGTAGGACTTCATGACATTTTGGACAATTCTATGATTCTATAAAGGACATCACTCAATTTAATTTGTGACATGACTAAAGTACTTAATTTACTTATTGGGCACTAGTAACAACATTTTTAAACCAAGGTACTTCTTCATTTTCTCCTTTTAAGATGCTATGAGTGGGACTTCATGACATTTTTGAAAGGTTATTTATTCTCAGGCTTTCCCTGAGAAGAGTGTAGGCACCCAGAAAGGTGAGGGGCTCACAGCTTTGTTCTTGGATGGAGACACCCACATCCTGCCTCTGTTCCCCTGGAGGAGCAATCCATCTGGAGGATGGCAACCCACCAGGAGAGCGGAGGATTTAGGAAGGAGCAGGCGCCGCAGGAACCCAGGAAACTGAAGCATGAAGCGTATATAACATTTACATCCTTCCAAGCATGTAAGTCAATGTACTTTTTTCCAATTTCAATTTTAGTTTTATGTATCTTCAGTCTTGATTTAGGTCCCTAAATTTTACTTGGATTTTGCTGTGTTTTGTGTACACATATATATGTATAAAATTCAGATATCAATTATGAAAGAGATCAGGCCCTTAGTAATTTTTCAGGTCTGGTTTAGTTTCACTACCCAAGAAAAGTAAATATAAGCATTTTAAAGGGAAAAGTAATTCTTTTTCAACCTCAGTCATCAAAGACAGTAAGAATTTAGCTATGAATTTTTGAGTATATGGTGAGGGAGCTTTAAAATCATTATTTAGGATCTGAATTCTGATCTGTTGTCTGTGATTTCAAAATTAGCAAGTTGTTTTGCTATAGTGTGCATTCCCTAAAGCTGCCTAACAGAGTTAAGTTTCATTTGATCCTCGTGTCCCTGTGTAGTGATGATGAGGAGAGGACGCTGGCACATGGAGGACCCGGTGACCCACATCTCAGTGTGCCTGGGGCTGCTCTTGGCCCTTGGCCATGGGATGGATTCACCCAGCTCACGGGGAGCGAGGAACCTGTGCCAGCCCTCGCTGCCCTGTCCCAGTGCACCACCCCCTGCTCTCATCAAAAACCACCACCCCCTCTCTCCGCTCTTCTCAGACACGTGCAGCTTTTCCTTTCCCAGCAGAGACATCAGAGTTCTCTAATAACTTCCTTCCCTGCTAAACTTAAGATGTAAATTATGCTTATATATTTTTATTACAAAAAAGTTACATTATTACAAGAGGTTAGACTAAATAAAGTACCTTTTGACATTTTTATTAAGGTATTTTGAGAAGCATTCAGGATGAATGCATACTAGCCAAGTTCTTCCCTAATTCGCTCGTGTCACTCAAGTGTAGGTACGAAAGGGAATAGGCATTGAGCTCTAATTCACATCATTACAATGTCATCTTGACAGAACTTGCTAGCTAATGTATGGAATAGCAAGAATAAAACAGTTTTATTTTAGCTAAAACTGATTAGTTTTAGTTAGCTTAGCTAAAACTGATTTAAATAGCGTGATGCAAGCCGGCTGCAAAAGATGGAATTTTATGCCTTCCCCTTTGTTTTTTATTTTATCTGCCAGTCTACATTGACTTTTTTTTTTCTGTTTGAAACTAGAAGCAAGTGTATAATTGTCAATTAGCAGCATAAATGATTTCATACCGCCCACACCCATTTTTGCAAAGCTTGCAGACTGTGTTCGTACGGAAATATATGTATAGCAGTGAATGACTTACACACGGTTCTTCAAAGATTACTAATTGAGAGAGTATTCTAATTGCTAAAACGCAGAAGAAAATGTATAAAGCGCTTTGGGTGCTTTAAAATATCTCACGGTAGGTGCAGGCTAAGATGTAATTTTTAACACAGTTCCACAGCGTAACAAAACATAAAAATAACCTTTCGAAAATATTCCAGCAGCAATTTGGTCCCTAAACACCATACGGAGAAGTAACTAATCCTACACACGACTCGATGATTCAGTGGGATAATCCACAGAAGAATTTCCATATGGTATTCTCAGTTCTCAACACCTCTTTTTCTATCATCTCCAACCCATGCTTATGATACGCTGGCAGATGCACTGAAGCCTGAGTTGAAAAGCAAAGTGAATATCCTTTTTATCTGTGTTCAAAGACATATATGTGTCATCACTTGCTAAATGCTGTTACTTGTCTTCCCGTATGGTGAACCAAAGCCAAAAAGAAGAGGATTTTGGCTGGCATCATCACAGCACATCTCTGCTATGGTACAGGTGTGGCAGACTTGAGAGACTTGAGTTTAGATTTGGATTTAGATCATTAGCATGTTTGAAGGATTCGACTGGACTGAACACGATTCCATTTGAAAAAACTCTTTTTCCACATTTTGAAGGGATCAGTTTCCTACTCCCTGAACTCCAGAAACTTCCAGTATGGTTTCCCCCATTTCCAATTTCTCAAACAGGAAAAAAACTTTTTTTCTTCTGTCAATCCCTTCATGTTATTCCAGAAATCAAATTGAAATTATCTTTTACCTGAAGGTACTCCACACACTTGCTAACAACTCAGGCCTATGTATAGTAGCCTTGAAGGCAGCAAATTGATAGTTACATTGATAGTTAACTCCATTATAGAGAGCATGCAGTACAAAGACTATGGAGCATACAACATATTATAGAGAGTAAAAAGCATCTGACCAAATAGTGTAACTGTAAATTTATCTTGGTGACATTTTATTTAGGCATTATTTTTAGCATCACCTTCTGTAACGGGGAAGGATGTGGTAATTAGGCTTTAGTGACGCAGTTTTTCTGTGTCAAAGAGAATGAATGGTATTGGGCCTTCCATCAGTCCACAACCCATTTTTAAATTATCCACTCCAAAGAAGTACATTTTACTTCACTCAGCATTCCCATTTGAAGAGAAGCAAACATGTCTCTAATCCCGTAACTGATTTCAGGTGTGTAAAATGTAGACCAACAGGTGATTTCAGTTTCAGGTCATTTGCTCTGTTGAGAAAAGTTACGCAACGTAAAGCAGACCCAGATTTTTATGGTATCTTTTCTGAGCATCAAAACTGATGTTCATCAACAAACATGAGATTTCAAATTCCTTCCCAAAACTACAGAATAGTTTCTTAACTTATGCTCACTTGATGATGCCAGAATCTTATTTACTACTTTATTATTACCTTCAGAGCAAATTGTAATTAATTATATACTCCATGTTTATTTAATCATTTTCAGTTGGCTGTCCTTCCAGACTTGTTGTATGCAATACTAATTATTTGCCTAGAGCAAGATTTTACAAACTCTTATAAGGACCACATGTTCAACTTGCTTTAAATTAATTGTGGACATTGTATTTGCCATTAATGTACATCTTCATTTGCTTTAATTTCACATCTGTGTTGCTTTATATACAACTCTTTTTACCAGTGTAATAGCAGCCACCAAACCTTGCCTTTGTGTTTTATCTTTTAATAAAATTGTTACCAAAAAAACCCCACATTCTAGTTTCCTGGTTTTAAAAAAGTGAAGTAATTTGAAAAGAAATTAATCTTTCTTATGCATTATTTGCAAAGTCAGCTGTAAAATGCTGCCTGAAATCTAACGGAGAAAAAATAAAGTAGCTAAGGTTTGCCTGAACAAAAAAAGTTTGCCTGTTTAAGAACAAAATCTCTTGGAAAGAGGCTTCCTTGTGGAAGAAATAGGCAACAGCGTCGCTTACTGCTGGTCCCACAATTCCTACCAGTTCACACAGGGATGTGTTTGAGGCAGCTGTAAAGCCCTACCTGGTTCCAACTGAGAGATGAAGCAGAACAAGCCCAGGCACAGGAAAGCTATTCAACACGCACTGGAAATCTGGCACAGGCTTATCATGCAGGTATCTACTTGTTGATACACAGATTAGACCAATTAATGCTAATTAGGGTAAGTCTACAAATGCTGTTAACTACCTTTCTGATTGTAAGGTGTAGATATCCCACAAACTGCAGCAAAGCAATTAAAAAAAAAAAAATTCTTATCTAAATTACAATGGAAATTACCAAGAAGGAAAACCCTACTGCCTTCCAGTAATGAGATAAAAACAGAACCAGAAGGTACACAAGGTGAAAACAACCTTTATCAGACAAAAGTGCTGTGTTGGGAGGAGTAGCTCTGTATTCGTGAAGTTTTTAAAAGGTTAGGGAGCCAATTTTATGGTGCAAGAATTTATGTACATCTCAAACCAGGTAAAACAGTATGTTAAATTCCAATATAGCACAGTATGTTTTCAGTCCAGAGAATACTCTGTTGAAACGTATAGATACACCATATTGACAATATGGTTCTCTGGATTTAAGAAAAATGCAGCATCTTTTCACTTTCTGAGGGGATCCTGACCAGGTCAGATCCCTTTCAGTAGAATGTGTGTTTGGACCAGTAATTCAGACTATGACTACAACAGAGTCTTCACCTACTGCTGAGGGAGGCTTCAATGTAAAATACATAGTAATGTTCAAACCTTTTAACGTTTCAGCAATTTTTAAGATAAGGAATCAGGATCAAACGCTGCTCAGAACAAATTACAATGAACTAACTATTCAAGCTAATACAAAAAATGAAGCTGAATGAGCAGAATTCATTATATTCTAAGCAACAAGAAACACAGCATATAGAATAAAATATTCCTCTTCCCTTAGCAGTTGACAGGAGCATAATAAAACAAGATATATTTGCAGGAGGGTGTCTGTCTCATCACCAGAGTTAAAAAATTTGCTGTCAGTATATTTGTAGCAAACTGCTTTACGCGGAGGCATTTAATTATTTCAAGCCCCAAAATTCCACTTCTCATTGTTAAACTTGAGTAAAAATCAATGTCAAGTGGGTTCTGTGTTAAAAAGACTGATATGCATGGTTTAACTGGAAAACTGTAGCCTGCAGATTCAATTTCCAAATGCCCAAGGAACAAGAGTCTTTGCTTTCTAGAACAATTAGATTAACATTTATACTGTCCTTACTGAAAGCCAAATTTTAAAAGCTTATATTATTTCAAAGTTCACATTTGCTTCTTCAAAGTGAAGGAAATACTTTCAGTGGTCTGTTATTTCTTCTAGAACTGAAGCAGGGACTTGGAGTGACAATGCAGAGCCTTTAAATTACCAGACATACTAACAACTTTTCTCTGCCATTTCGCTTGTGGGGCAAATTAATGCTGGTAATGACTTTGCACGTTAATGGCTTTCAGGGGATGCAGACTGCACAGCAGTTCAGCCTCATCCAAAATCCAGCCAAATTAAACTATTTAGAATAAGTGGGGGAAAAAGTGCATCTAATCTGTTCAGGTCCCTTGTATTTTCAGAGAAACTAAACCAGCCCGCAAATTTGGCCATCTGGCTCATTTTGCTTTGGGATCTGCTGCCACCTCGTGGGCCCATGATGGATGTTAAGTCCCGAGATAGATCATTTCTGTCCTGGTGTTAAGAGGGTTTTTTTTTATAATCAGGTTACATTTGCCACTTTTCCATTCTTTGAATTCACAATTACAGCAACAACATTAATTTGTTAACTTCAAATTAAAATACAGCTAGGTGTACTGCTGTTTCTTACAGCTTTGCTCCATAAAGAATTAGTGCAATTTAATCCCTCTGTGCCAGTGTAGATGCAGACAGACAAGACACTGAACTTTTTCCATCTCATTGGAGTATTCTCCTGCATTACACAAACATAGAATGGTTGGGGTTGGAAGGGACCTTAAAGATCATCCAGTTCCAACCCCCCTGCCCTGGGCAGGGACACCTCCCACCAGACCAGGTTGCTCCAAGCCCCATCCAGCCTGGCCTTGAACCCCTCCAGGGATGGGGCAGCCACAGCTTCTCTGGGCAACCTCTTCCAGTGTCTCACCACCCTCACAGGGAAGAATTTCTTCCTGATATCTAATCTAAATCTCCCCTCTTTCAGTTTAAAACCATTACCCTTCATCCTATCACTACATGCCCTTGTAAAAAGTCCCTCACCAGCTTGCTTGTAGACCCCCTTCAGGTACTAGAGGGTCTCCCTGGAGCCTTCTCCAGGCTGAACAACCCCAACTCTCTCAGCCTGTCTTCATAGGAGAAGTGCTCCAGCCCTCTGGCCATTTTTATGGCCTTCCTCTGGACCCACTCAGGTCCATGTCCTTCCTACGTTGAGGACTCCAAAGCTGGATGCAGTACTCCAGGTGGGGTCTCACCAGAGCAGATTGGAGGGGATAGAATCACCTTCCTGGACCTGCTGGCCACACTGCTTTTGATGCAGCCCAGGATGCAGTTGGCTTTCTGGGCTGCCAGTGCACATAACTGAAAAACCCATTGCCTTGGGTTTTTTTTCTGGACCATCTATGAATTTGATACTGGAATTAAAGAGCACTGGGTTCCTACAGATTCTCCAGGCTGTGGAAGACCATTGGGTCATTAATAATTTGGTAGCTTGTGAGACTGTCTTTGGAGGAGGCATCCATTGGGATTGACAGATAGAAAAAGGGATATAAGCAGTTTGTGGGTTCTGGGTTCTTAAAAATGTTCCTGTTTTACTATCGCCAGAAAATCTGATAATGGGAAGCCAAGATGCTCATCCAAGAAGCCTAGAGACGTCAGAAGCTGTTCCGTTCACCTTGGAATGGCCAGACTTTGAGGCAAAATAGTTACTAGCTATGAAATGAGCAGTAACTCAAGTTTGCTTTGACTTCATTGAATACCTTAGATTTAATGTCTCTTGAATCCTAAAAAAAAGTGAGGTAATTTGATCTCTATGGGGAAAAGAGCCTGCAGTGGTGGCCCTACTGTAGGGCCACTGTAACTGAAGAGGTTTCTTCAGTTACAGACTGAAATAATACCTGCCCAAGCCCTGCTGGTAGCTTGTCCCTGATCAACCACTGGTGCCCGGAGCGAGTGGCAAGAGCTGATGCTGCATCGAGCAGTCGCAGCCATGATGGCCTCCTCACCTGGGTACATGTGGGGTGTCCTCCCAGCCGGTGGCCCACGCTTTGTGCCCCTCAGCTCCCTTCTCCCACAGGGTCACTGGAAGCACAACGTAGTTTCAGGCTGCAATTTCAAGCAGAAAACAGTGTTACACAGAAGGTTTACAACCAAGACTCCGAAAGCCGCCTGTAGAAATATATTCATAACGTGGCTGTTATTTAAATAGAAACAAACTGATTCAATGGAATCGTCTCCTTCATGAAAACTCTCTCCTGAACGCTGTTTCTTCTCTCTTTACAGAATCGCAGAATCATCATGGTTGGAAAGGACCTCTGAGATCATTGAGTCCAACCATAAAAAAAACAAAAACAACAAAAAACCAACAACACACACAACACCCCACCACATCACACCCACCCACAAATCAATAGTCTCGGGCACTAGAGCCTGCTCCGAAGTGCCATGTCTACACGTTTCTTAAATACCTCCAGGGATGGTGACTCCACCACCTCCCTGGGCAGGCTGTTCCAGTGCCTGACCACCCTCTCAGGAAAGTCATTCTTCCTTAAATCTAATCTAACCCTCCCCTGCCCCAACTTCAGACCATTTCCTCTGGTCCCGTCATTATTCCCTTGGGAGAAGAGGCCAACACTCACCCACAGCCTCCTGTCAGGGAGTTGTAGAGGGCAATGAGGTCTCCCCCCAGCCTCCTCTTCTCCAAACTAAACATGCCCCGTTCCCTCAGCCTCTCCTCATAGGATTTGTTCTCTAGACCCCTCACCATCTTGGTGGCTCTCCTCTGGACATGCCCCGGCACTTCAATGTCCTTCCCGTAGTGAGGGGCCCAGAACTGAGCACAGCACCCGAGGTGAGGCCTCACCAGTGCCCAGTACAGAGGAACCATCACTGCTCCTGCTGGCCATGCTGCTCCTGATACAGGCCAGGATGCCGTTGGCCTTGATGGCCACCTGGGCACACTGCTGGCTCATGTTCAGCCGGCTGTCCACCAACACTCCTAGGTCTTTTTCTGCTGGGCAGCTTTCCACCCACTCTTCCCCAAGCCTGTAGCGTTGCCTGGGGTTGTTGTGACCAAAATGTAGGACGCAGCCCTTGGCCTTATTAAACCTCATCCCATTGGCCTTGGCCCATTGATCCAACCTGTCCAGATCCCTCTGTAGAGCCTTCCGACCCTCAAGCAGATCAACGCTCCCAACACTTTAGCCCGCTTTGAAGCCATACCCGCCCTAAGCCTCCCTCCGGGCACCCACTTGCT